CTCTGTCGCCCAGGCTGTAGTACAATGGCATGATCACAGTATCCACAGCCTCGACCTCCTGGGCTCAGGTGATCCTTCCGCCTCAGCTTCCTGAGTCAATGGGACTATAGGCATGCGGCACCACACCTGGCTAATGTTTTTATTTTGTGTAGAGACAAAGTCTCACTATGTTGCCCAGGCTGATCCTTAACTCCCAGGCTCAAGCAATCCTCCTAAGTCAACCTCCCAAAGTGTTGGGATAACAAGACAGGAGCCCAAGATATATTTTTGACACAGAAAGTATGGTAATAAAATAAAAGATATAAATTTATTTTTACCACAATTAAGATTTTTAATAGAGTACATGGAATGAGTAGTCAGCACATGGAAAGCTTTGAGTTTTTTAAATAATTATTTTATTTTAAAATGTGGGGTACAAATGAGGGTTTTGAGATTTTTAACACAATTGATACATCAGAAAAATTGTTTAAAAAGTTAGAAAGAAAATACAAGGTTAAGATAATCACTGTACTATATTTAAAAGACTCTCAGAACATAGTTTAGCATATGTTTAGTACGATAACAAGCGCCTAAAGTGTTAGTGACTTCCATAAGCGCTACGTTAAGAAGGACTCTGAGGCGGTGTCTGGGCCCACAGGAAGATGTGCTGAGGACATCTGCCTGGGCAGTGGATAGGGGTGGGCAAATGCTTTATCATTCTAGTTCTAACTATACATGTTCTCTGTTCTGATATAGAAACAAACCCCAAATCCAAATATTTTAATTATACAAGTTTTAATGAATTTTGTGTTTGTTTTTCACTAAACAACTCCAAATGGTCATAAATACGAAATGAATGTTTTTAATCCTCTTTTTCCCGAATTTCAAAAATTGCACAAGTTTATTACAGACTATTCAGGGACAGGAGCTCCAAAGAATGCTCTTCAAAATGTCTATGACTGGTGCTGATCTACACATTCCTCGCTACTCATCCACAAGAAGCGCAGAAATTGAGATTGTTCAGTAATTGTTATAGCAATTTGGTATTGCTATGAAATTTTCACTGCACTTTACAAAGGTTATGGGTTCACAAAGGATTGGAAATTAAAAATAAGAAACACCCTTCTTCACCACATGTAACCTGAGAATCACAGATAGTTGAGAACACGAAGAAAAATGTACTCTCGACTCTTATTTTGTGTATTAGGCCAGGGTTTTCCAGTCTCAGCATGAGTAACACCTGGGGCCTTGGTTGTGGGGTTTCCAGTGCATGCACTACAGAAATGTTCAGCATCCCTGGCTTCCATGCTACACTGTGTTACAAGTGTGCCTCTCTTTCTACTTAATTAAACTGTAAAGGAATCCTCCATCATCAAAACTTGTTATAGGGAAATGTGGCATCTTCTCATGACAATAACACATTCCACAGAGTGATCTTGAACACGTCAAGATGATACATTCTACCGGTTCAGACTGCTTAAGCTAGTTTAATCTATTTTTTCTCCAATAGCTTTCTAGATCTCTACATGATCAGACTCTTTCTCTGGCTTATTTTTCTAGAGCCCCTTCTCTCATTCACCACTGTTTAAAAATTCTTGTAAAACTTATACTAGTTGTTCTAATATAGCTTGTTATTTTGATATATGCTGTTTCAATGTTAATAGTTTAGAGTTCCCTCTTTAGTTGTTTGTAATGAGCAATTTGTTTTTTCTTGTGATGCTGCCACTTTTTTTTTTTTTAATTTTAAAGTGAGCAGTTTTCTATCTTCCTGTATCATCTCTGGGCCTCACATGTTATTTATCTGTTCTTCTTACTAAAAGTATATTGCAACTAGGGTCTGGCAATGACAGTCACGTCCAGTTCTCTAAATCACATTATTATAAATATGTTGAGTAAACCGGCTATGGTCTTGAGCACAAACTAATGCCAAAAGTCTCCTCCCAAAGCCCTCAAAGACTTAGAGAACTTGGCAGTAGGGCAAACACACCTCAGACTCATCAGATGCTGTTTCCCATTGCTGGAGAAGTAACTTAGTTTCAAATACTCTTAACCCTTCAGCATCATCTCAGGGTGCCTAATACTACCCTTGAGTTCATTATCACACTCTTCATCCTTCAGTATCTAAAGTAACCCTAACAATTACCTGTATTTTCGTTTAATCTTCTTCTTCCATTAGGTTGCTTTTCTCTGCAGACTTCTCAGTTTTTGCTGCAACATTTGTGAGGGTTTGTTTTTGTTTTTTATCTCTGCTGTCCATTAACTATTTTTGCAACCTGCAATATTTATACTGTGTGTTTATATTGTATGTTACTTCTACTACTTTGTATCTTTACTCGGAATTTTAAAAAACTGTTGAGGATGTTGAATGAATGGGGTCTTTAAAGGACAGCAAAATTTCTTGTACCTCACTCAGTCCTCTATTTGAACACATTTTTGTGTCTTCCTAGTTGTCCTGCCCCCATAGTTATTTACCAAATTATTTAACTTACGGAAAATTAGTCTTTGCTTTTATAATTGAATGGTAGGATAAAGTAGTACTTTCACTTTTAAAGTCACAATCTACCATATTTCCAAGATTGTAAGATATATTAACAGTAGACAATAATAACAGCATCACAGAAAAAAGAAAAACTTAGATGCTCAACTCTGTTTCCGAAACACTGAGAATTAAATATACCTAATTGTTATATGCCTCCTTCCTCTTTAAAATACATAATCCCAGAAAAGGGTCACATAAACAGAAAGTTAGTAACAAATGCATTCTATAATCTTGTATTTTTATTACTAATCACAAAAGTTGGTTTGTAGGTCATTTTAAGTTTTTATTTGATCCTTCTGAAAATGTTATTTTGAGGTACACCTAAATGTTTCAAAAGCATCTCTCTCCCTAGAACTTTATAAGAGAAGCCAGACACTGTGGTTCACACCTGTAATCCCAGCACTTTGGGAAGTTGAGGTGAAAGGATTTGTCGAGACCAGGAGTTCTAGATCAGCCTGAGCAACACAGCAAGACCTTATCTTTAAAATAATATTTTTTTAAAAAAAACAACCATGTGGGAACCACCTCTGGCTCTAACTCTACCCTTCTCTATTGCTGACAACAAGCAAAACTTGTACACCTAACCTAGCTTAACACGAAAAACTAAATAATAGTAGTAATGGATAACAGTAGCAGCTCCCGATTCTGTGCCAGGTCCTTGATTTAATTCTATGTTTTGCAACAGTCCTATAGTGTAGGTATTTTTCTTCCCTTTTACAAATGAGGAAACTGAAGCCCAGAAAGTTCACATAAATTGCCTATGATCACACTCTTAGGAAACAGCTGACTAGGATTTAAATCCACTGGTCCTATTATAAAGGTTACATACTAACCACCACGTATGCAGCTAACAAACTCACCCATTAGTTAACTACCCTCCCTAATTTCTCCAGGTATCAATGGTAGCCTAGACTAGAAATCTGAAGCTATTTTTTATTATTTTATCTCCTCCCATTACTAGTGCCACTCCAGGTATTCAGTCACTGAGAACTGCCACTCCCTTCCTACAGTATTTATTTCACCATCCCACCTGTACGTACACTTATGATCACACAGTGTCTTCGCAACCGGAATCAATGCCTTGTGTCTTCTCTCATTGCTATCCTACATAAAACTCTTTCATTATGCTTCTCTTTGATTCTAGAAACTACAATTGCTCTCTCTTGCCTATCACTCTTACCTAAGACAAACTATATGCGTTCCAAACTCTTAATTTCCTTTTTAGATTAAAAATAATTCAAGATCAGAAACATAAGCCATTGGTAGAGATTGTAACATGAACTGACAGCATGCCAAGTTTCTTTCAGGAGTTTGGTAAACATTCACAATGATGACTATGATGCCAAAAGTTATTATGTGCAGGCACAGCACCTTGATCTCAGCATTTTTTGTTTGTTTCACTGGATTGAAAGCAGAAGAGACTCTTCATTACAAGGCCACCTCTCTTTTCGGAATAGTGGGGTTTAAATAGTGATAGCTTTCTAAGTGGAAAATCCAAGCTGCTGGACTCTAAAGAACTCAGCCTTGAGTTCATTCAGAGTCCACTGGCATCTCTTGTACTCTGAAGAGCTGTAAGGCCTCTCAAGTAGAAAA